TCTTTCCCTTAATGAAATAGCCCAGGACTTCGCAGAGCTCACTCGACCAGAGAGGGAAGGAAAAATGGGGCTGTTTACCTTCCTGGGGGATCCTGCTCTTTTCCGCTTCCTCAATAAATAGGGAAAACATGTTCGTCTTCACAAACTTCTTCACAAACTTGCGGTTGGTCTTGGAGGCGATGGCTTTGCAGAAGGCTCGCTCCTGGAAGGTGCCCGAGCCGTTTTTACTCCACTTGATGTGCGAGGCGTAGTGGCCAACCGTTCGGACGAAGAACTGCACAAAGGCTTCGGAGACAAGCGTGTTCACCTGCTCGGATGCTGGAAGAGGACACGGAGCATGAGAGGCGGGGATGGGACCTCTGAACATAGAAAGGATGGACCTATTTTAACCTGGCCGGTTCGCAGACTCTGTTTGCATCCGGAGAAATTATTTGCTTAAAACCTCCCTCTGCCAGTAAACCAAGCTCAGACTAATTTTACTGAGGGAGCACTGGCTGTGTTTGCTTTCCAGGGTGGTGGCATCTTTGTGGGCCAAATATTGGCAAAACCTGACTTTTTCAGCAGAATTAATTGTTCCTGCTCTCGTGTTTCGCAGGACAGGGGAAAGGCCAAGGGATTTCTCTCCTGTGGCTGCATTTTATTGCAAACTGGGGCAGAAACATCCCAGGCCAGGTCTCTTTAGGAAAGACATTTCACTGAGGACTCCGGCCATCTGTGGAAGGCAGCTTGCATCCGTTTTACCGTATGGAAAGAGACGCCCTTACTGTGTATGTTGTTGTTGTTGTTGTGCCTGTTCAGAGACGTCAGCATCTCATTCTGCAGCTTGATGGGCAAGATCTCCTCCTCATCGCCGACCTGGAAGGCAACGGGGCTGTGAAGCAACCAGCACCGGTGGGAACCTGGCTCAGATGGCCGCGGGCAGCGGCTAGTGCAGCCCATCAGTGGGGCTTTCTGCAGAGCTCATTAATTAATTATCACTGCAGGGTGCTGCAGTGATGCTGGGAGTGGGATGCCCGACACACGGACCCTGCTGCTCCAGCTCACGACAAGAGAGATGCAGCGGATGGAGACACCCCTTTGCGGGACATTATCCCTGCATGGGTGACACCGAGATGTCTCTGCCCCCAGAATGTGAAATCCGCCAGGTAGCTGGGACCAAGGGTGGAAATGGGCCCTTCCCAGGGCTACCCAGGCCCCGCGAGCCCACCCCCACGCCCTGCACGGGGGCACCTACCGCCCGGAGGATCTTCCCTTCGCAGAGGTCAACTATCAGAGCCTGGAAGAGAGCACAGAGCAACCAGGTTTAGTCCTACCAAGGCAGCCAGGCTTCCTCCCACCCGTTTTATTATCAGACCTCTGTGTCCACAGCCCACGAGGGCGGCAGGAGAAGGATCGGTCCCTCTGTGCTGGAGGGACCTGGGCAGGGGAACCAGGGCATCCCCCCAGGGCCCGTGTTTGCTCCAGGCTCGGTGGCTTGTCCCCACACAGCCTTTCTCTGCTTCTGCAAGGTTGGGACGATGCCAACAGCCAGCCTGGCCGACAGCAGCTCCCCGAGCCCCCAGGGTCAGGGCTGCGGGTCCTGGGGTGGCTGGCAGCACCCAGGGGGACGTGGAGGTGTTGCCCCAGGTGCCAACAGGAGGGGACATGCAAGAAGCCCCAATCTCCAGCCTCCCTCAATGGGAAAAGCGCACAACCAGAGCCTTCACCCCTGGAGCCAACACAAACCCAGGGCCACAGACTAACCGACGGTTCCATCCAGATGCTTTCCCCCGCCCGGATAAAATACCTCCTCCATCGGCTGGTCCAGGACCCGCTCCAGGTGTCGCATCTGGATGCCGACCATGAAGGGCGTGGGGCAGCAGACAGTGTCGAGCAGGCACTCGGGGACCACAGGGATGTAGGTGTGAGCCCAGGTGAAGGGGTAGAGGAGAGCAGCCACCGCGTGGATGCACTGCGACAGGACGCTGTGGGACAAGGAGCCATCGTGGTGGCATTGCACGAGGAAAGAGGATTTCACTGCTTGGAGGGAACATCCCACCCCGAGCTCAGCTATGTCCTGCTCTCCTTCAAGGGGTATTTTTTTTGGTTTTATTTTTAAATAAACAGACCAGGACTCACCTCAGCTCCTCCGCCAGGAAAATGAGCCGTCGCTCCAACACGGCGGAGGCGAAGATGTGCAGGATGAGGTGGGGGCTGAGCCGCTGGAGCAGAGCCTGAAACTCCACGTGCTCCAGGTGGGCATCCACGGGCCGCGTGAGCTTGATGAGCTGCCAAGGGAGAGCCACCAAACCCCGGCTTAGGAGGTGCAATGCTCCCCCTGTGCCGCCCTGGCCCCCTGAGAAGGTGATCTGGGAGCAATTAATGACCCCGAGTTTGCAGCATCTGCATCACGTCCCTCTGCAAGGGACAAACCTCATCTTGTCCTGCCTGGAGATTTGGGCTGTGCAGTGCTGAGGATGCAGGAGAAGCCAGCGGCGATGTGCGCTGTGGGGTTTATTTATTGGGGCACTGGATTTTTAACCAAAATGCCTCTTTTCTGCAGTGCCGACAAGTCCCTGGTAAGAAACAGGTAGGGAAGTGCTCCCACCTTGGCGTCTGACAGCTCATCTGTAAGCAGCTTACATCTGTAAGCAGCTCCCTTCCAGGAAAGGGAGGAGGGACGAGGGCATGACTTTTGCTATAAAACCCACAAAAACTTCCTCAAAAGACTCTCTGGGAGGGCCAGCTTGCCTCATACTAGCTAGGAAGGCCCAAAACTGAATTATCTAATGGATATTTGCAGGTGGTCTGCCCATTCTGCTGGCTTTGCCCCAGACAAGAGCCCCCCAAATCCAGTCGATACCTCTGCCCTGATGCGGGCAGCCCCGAGACGGCGACCGCTGAAGGGTAACAGGACTGTGCAGCTCATGACACAGTCCTGGCCCCTCTCCCCAGCTTTACGGGGGTGGGGGGAAATCCCCTTCCTCCACGTGCCAAGCCGCCTTTCCAGCAAAGCAGCATCTTCCCAGCCAGCAGCACAGGGCTTGGCTGGGCTCCGCAGCCCCTTTCCAGCACAAATCCTGCACGATCCCCAGCTCCCAGCTCATGCAGTACCCAGGATTTATTTTTCACCCCTTTTCTTGTTTTCTCACTGATCTCTTCGACTTGCTCCAGCCCCTGCCCAGAGCCCCAAAGTGCAGCTCTTTCGAAGAATGTCCTCATCGCAAATCCTCCCTCCTGTCACCCCCAGCTGCGCTCACTGCAGCCTGGCCCGCAGCCAGAGCATTGAGCAACCTGCAAAGCTCTTGCACAAGCCTTCCTGGATGAAGAAACGTCTTGCAATTTGATAGCCAGCTGCTAAATTGTACTAGAGAGGAGGGATCTTGCTCTCAGACCCACCCTGGCAGGACGCATCCCTGGGATGCTCAGCACCGAGGTTATTTTGCCCAGTCCCAGGTGCCAAGGCAGATCCTCCCCCTTCTTCCTGGCCAGCTTTGCCACAAGAGAAAGAAAAAGCAAAAGAAAAGGCTCTGCCTGTGCGAGCCTGGGCCGTGCGTGGGCGAGATGAGCCCCCTGGGCACCGTGCCCATATCACATCTCCTTTCCACAGGTAAGGCCTAGGCTTGCCGCACGCCTGTGCCATGCCGACTGCCTGCTCGTGATGCTAAACTAGGAGGGGTGTCGAGGCCCAGAGCTGAGCACCGCGGTGCGGAGGGGAAGCTGCAGCCTGCAACACCCCGCAATGGCCCCAGCACCACTGCGCACCCCAACAGCCCCGCATGCCGCACCCGGAGGTGCCAACGCCAGCTCACGAGCAGCGTGCAGCCAGCCCCGCTCTATGGCCCCCGGCATGATGCACCACTCTGACGTAAAGGCTGTGCAAGCACTGACGTGTTAAGAAACGGCGTCCGGGGAGTTTTTGTGCTGGCAGCTCCAGCCCGAGGCTGATGGAGCTGCAAAGATGCTGCTTTGCAAGGACGCAAAGATGGGGCAGCGTCACCTGTGGATGGGCTCCATCCTCATCCTCACTGCTCGCTGCTCTCCTCCTGGACCAGGAGGGAGGTGGCACTCATATTCCCAGGGCCCGAGGCCCCTGGCAGCCCGACCCACCACCCACTGCTCCAGTGAGCACCCATGGGTGCTGCAGGTGTGGAGGATGCTCCCGGAGGTAGCCTGGGCTCCCCACGTCGGAGCAGTGCAGGAGGTGCTGCTGAGCCCCTGAGACCCCCACCAACCTCCGTGCCTGACTCAGGGATGAAGCTTTTAATTGTGACGGTTTTCCCTGGGGCTGGGAAGGGCGATTCCCGAAGGCCCTGCATGAAGGGGTAAATCACCGCCATGGAGATCTGGCGCCTCTTCTCCACCTCGTCCAGGATCTGTGGGAGAAAAAAGTGAGCTGTGAAACCCCGGCAGGCAACAGACTGGCTGCCTGGGCCACCACCGTGCCAGATGGAGCCACCACATCCCTACCTTGGAGAAGAGCCCGAAGCAGCCCAGGCAGCTGATGATGCAGAAGACCTCAGGGAGGCGGACACCACGGCCGGATGGCTGGAAGAGGATGGGAAAAGGGTTTGAGCATCTCCCAGCCCCACTGCACTGGCTCCCCGCTCTCCCCAGAGATCCCCCCTGGCTCCCCTCATCCCCCCAAGATGCCCAGTCACCCACTGGGGGATTTTTCAGAGCTGGGGCTCAGGCCAAGGACGCAGTTGATGCTGTAAAAGCAGGGGGTGCCCAGGACCCAGAGAAGGCAATTCAGATTCCAAAGCTGTTAATCATTTTGGTGCAAAGCCTCCGGCATATTCCCAAACTTTTCTTGCCCCCAGACACGTGTCGTCCAAGATACCCTGCCCCACCATCCTTGGGGCTAATCCTGCTTCCTACTGAAACAGGGATGGGATGAGTGCCCAGGCTTTTTCCCTTTCCAACTGGATTATCCTGGCTCCGTTTGCTCTCTGTGCTTCGAGCCCTCCAGACATCCAGTTCAAACAGCCAGAGCTCAGCCCTGGATACAGAAGTGGGCAGGTTCGCCCGGGAATGAAAGGGTGGTGGGATCCAGCGAGTCACCGAGCCGTGACATATGGCCCTGTGGCTTTATGTCCCTATTTAAGCAGGCTGTGCGTAAATCAGCAGCCAAGGAAGACCTCCATCCCACCTCGCAGCCCCCAAGCTGGCCAAATCCACGGGTTGAGAAAGGCAGCCACCGTTCAGGAGCAATTTTTGGGGATGGGGCTGAGGGCACCCGGCTCCTTGGCATCTGGATGGGCGCACGCGCATCCCCATCCTGATCCCGAGTGGGATTCGCAGCCGTCCTGACCGCTGCGGCCAAGGGAAAGGAGCCAGGGAAGCTGTGGGAGATTGGTGGGGAGGCAGCGACCACCGGTACAGGGAATGGCACCTCCCAACCGTCACATCTCCTGGTTGCATTTCAGGCCAGCTCTGGGCTACAGTAAATGCCGCTTTCCTCCATCCAGCATCCAACTGATGCCCAAGCAAGAAGAAAGCTCAAAAAAAATCCCTTTGGGCACCCCCTTGCTGCTTGTCATCATCTTTGTCAAGGCAAGTGGCTTTCTAAGGCACGTCCCCAAGAGTTGTACTTTGGGCATGGCAGAAGGCATCGCCTCCCACCACGGGGACGGAGTGGCATGGCCACCACCAACCCAGCGATGGGTGCACGGGCGGTGGGATGCTCACCAGCAGCCGCCTGCAGTAGCCGATCTTCCTGCTGCCATCCACGTTGGTCAGGACGAAAGAAAAGGTTTCGCTGCAAGGAGAGACAACGCATGGGGACGGGACGGCTCTTCCAGCCCGCAGCCCTCAGGGGTGCGACAGCACAGGGTGGGAAACCACAGCCAAGACCCCGCAGCGGGGCAGGTACCTGGTGAACTCAGTGACAGGGGCCCAGTTGTTGCCGTCGGGGAAGCAAAAGAGGGGGATGGCTTGCAAGAGACGTTCCTCCTCCTCCTTCTGGCCCTTCAGCAAGTTCTCGCGCTGGAACGAAGCGATGCCAAGAGTCAGGGTGATGGAGGGTGCCCATAGCCCCAGGGCTCAGCTGGGAATGGGCTGGGATGGGAAGGGCAGTGTCCCAAAGCAACCCCCGGCTCAGACCGAAGCAGAGAGTGTCTGCACATCCCTGAACAAGAATCTCCGAAAAATCAAATTTTTGACTCTTTTACCGCATTGATAGTGGAGCAAAGCGGAGGCACCCAGGGGCCCCTCTGCAAACAGGGGCCCTCCCCATGTGCCACCTCCCCAGGATGTGATTTTGATGCCATGGTCTCCCCTCCTGGGACAGGAGGTCAGGGAGCGCCCCACGATTTTCCTCCTGGGGTTTGTGGCCCGGGGCTCGGACTGCAGGGAGGGACAGACGGTCCCAGCAACCCCAGCCCACGGCAGGCAAAGCCCTGGGGTTTGGGTCTGCGACTCCAGGACACGGGGTATTTTTCTGTCCTCCTCCCCTGGCTCTAGTGATGGGGAAGGAGCAACATCCCTTTTTCATCTAAATTCGGAAAACTCATCTTCCCGGAAACACAGGACTAAATACCTTTGGGAACTGGTAGGTTATCTTGGGTTCGTAATGTCCATCTGACATCTTCTTCAGCGACACCACCACCAAGTACTCGAAGAAAAACTGCCCAGCAGAATAGAGGACGGAGCTCCGCTCTCCTGGTTTCCCCTGCGGCACCCGCGAGGGGTTGTTTTCTGCAGCAGAGGCCTCCTCTTTTCCTTCTGTAGCCAAAAAAACCCACCCCAAAAAACAGAGCAGAGTGAAATGAAAGGCCAGGAGGTGTCCTGATAGCAGAGGTGTCCTGATAGCAGGAGAGGAGATGCAGAGCTACACATCAACTGGCCAAAGTGGCTGAAGGGAACCGGGACCTGGTGCACGGGGTGTTTTGGTCCCTGACAGTGAACAGCTGGGGACATGCGGGCACAAGACACGGGAAGGAAAGAGAAATGGCTTTTATGAATCTTTTGGAGAAAATCAAAGTGCTGTCAGACACCCCCAGCCCTCCTTTGCCCCATCCCAGGGAGGGCAGAGGGACGCAGATGGTCTCTGCAGAAAGCACCTGCGGAAAGGTGTGGGAATGTTTTTATAGCAGTTAATTTTATTCCCTTAGGGGAAAAAACCAGCAAACAAACAGCACAGATCTTGTTCGAGCACCTCCAAAGGCTCCAACAAGATGAATCCCAACCTCTCCCTGCCAGATTTCCTCAGTCCTGGGAACTGCTGATTGCAAGTGAGATACTCAAGGGTTTTCCCTAAACCACAGCTCCCAAAGCAAAGCAATTCCCTGAGATTACATCCCATTTCTTGTTCGGCCGGTTGGGGAGGACAGCTGGGGAGCGTCAGCTGTCACAACCCAAAAAACTAGAAATAAGAGTGAACAGAGCCCAAGCCGACATCTCCAAAGGCCCTGGGGTGATCATGGTGGGGCAGCAAGATCCGAGGGCTGGGAAGGAGAGGAGTTAAATGCTGGCAGAATGCTGCAGCCAGGCCATGCCACAGCTATTGCTTCTCCCAGCAGCCACTGGCGACTCTCTAAATCCCCAGTTCCTGGCACTGAAACTGTCCCAGGCTTGGTCCTGGCTCTGATTACGGCGGGGAGCTGGAACAGAAATGCTTGAGCTGCTCCTAGGAATAACAAGCAGGAAAATAAACGTGTGGCTGGATGAAATTTTTCCCCGCACCCTGGAGTTTGGCCCTGGGCTCTTTTGGTTGTGCTGCAGCTCAGCAGGGCAAGGCACAGCTGTGGCCGGCTGCTCTCATCATCCTTCTCCCTCGTGTGCAACATCCTCCCCCGAAAGCATTGCTGGTGGACACTCCACCCCACGTATCCCCCCCGGCTCCGTAGCTGCTTCCTTTACTCTGGAAACACCTTTCCAGCCTCCACTCCAGGTCATCAGGAGCCGAGAGGAGCAGAAAGCTCATCCGAGGAGGTGACACAGTCCCATCATGGGATGTCCCTTCCCAGGGACGAGAAACGCCTTTCCCAGCTCGGGGCAGGGAGATGCGCAAAGCCACCCCCGCGTGCACCCCGAGGCCGCTCCACCTCCACATGCAAAGTCCTTCCTCTTGGCAAGGTGAAATTCATCCCGAAGAGGTCCTTCGCAGCAGGGGAAAGCCTGGGAGCATCCCGAGGATGAGACCCGGCTGCAGACACCTCTGGTTTGTCCTTGGTGGGGATCACCCATGTGACAGCCCAGCAAGGTGCTCCGGGCCAGGGAAAAAAGGTCAACAAGATGCACTTTGCTTCTCCTGCTCCTCCTTGGGATGCTCCAGCAATGGCTTCAGCAGTCCAATCTCACCTACGGGGCCAGGGCAGGAGGTTGTTGCCGGGGGGCACCCCAGGGAACCATGCTGTGCAGCGGGGAGGGCTGCTGGCGTCCCCCATCATCACTGGACGCTGGTGTCAGTTGTTTTCCCATCACAGATTGCCAGGGTAAGGTGAAAGTCCAGCTAAATTCTGCCTATCCAGTCCCATCCTCTGTTTCAGAGAATACAAGATGCGCTCTCAAGCAAGGGCTGCATTTGCATCATGTCCATGGCATTTTCAAACAGCCGAGTAAAACCCGCCGCTCCGGGGAGGCTGGTCATGCCGGGCTGCAGGTCTGCCTCTCGCAGACGGACCCACGTGCCTGCCCGAAGTGCGACCCGGTGCAGCGAGCCCTGCCGAAAGCGCGGCGTCACCCGGCAGCACTCCCCTGTGCCAGGTCTGGTTGCAAAGCCCTTGCCGGCAGAGCCTAAATCCCTCCAGGACCGTAATGCTCCATCCCTAGGCTGGAAGATGCAGCCATCATGCAGCATTGGATGGGTTTAATGTGGTATCAGAGGTCCCAGCACTCCCCAAAATCGGCAGGATTTGCAGTCCCTCATGTGTCCCGGGGACACAAGCCACTGTCACAAGAGCTTTGGCCAACGACTCTCCCGTAACCCAAGTGGGCAAGACTTGGGGACCATCCCACAGCCCCCCCCGCAGCGTGGGTGTCCTCTGCGAGGAGGGGAATGAGCCAGGTGGCCGGGGGCGCTCATGCAGCTCCTGGGTGGAAAGCGGCTGCCGGTGCTGGGGATTTTCACCCCTCCCTCTGCCGGGCACGGAGAAGGCAAAGGCTGCCGCGATGCGCGCTGGCCCATGCGGAAATGGCACCGGGGCTGCCGGCGTTAAAAGAAAAAAACACTTTGCTGTGCAACCAGCTTCCCCGACCAGAGCAGGGTTTTCTTATCAGCCGTGGGCTGCGCTCGGACCCATGTTGTGATGCGGCACAACCTGTTTCTTTCCTCCCAGAAAACTCCCGGGCTGCAGCGTGCCAAAACCTCCCAGCCCGGCGTGATGGTTTGCAGGGGGAGCTCTGCTTCCCGCGCCATGCAGCCGCCCACCTGCCCCAGCAGAGAGGAAATGGCTTTTGCTTTATCGAACCTTTTCTGCTGAGCTTGGAAAAACACGTATCGCACCCAGAGCAAGAGCCAGCCAGCACAAAACAGACCTCGGGGAGAGGGGGGAGGGGGGGCTTGCAGTGAGCCCCCCAAATCCACAGGTTGCCCCAACCTGCTCTGCTCTGCCTTGAGATATGGCAGGCCAGAAACCCCTGACGATCCATCCTGTATCTTGGAAAAGCTCACAAATCCCAAAGGGCCAATTTCTGCACCGTCCTCTAAAGGCTCCGCAACACTGACCGGCCCGGGGGGCACCGTGCCCCCACGGATGCCCGCGATGCCGCGCTCCGGTGTGCCCTGCGACGCTGCGCTCGGTGGGCAAAGGGCTGGGAAGGTTTTTGGGGATGTGATAATAGGGAGCCTGTGGAGCTGCCCCTGGGATGGGGTAAACCCCCGGGGGATTGGAAACCTCCCCAGGGGATGGGGTAGACTCATTTGGGATGGGGTAGGCTCCCAGGGGATGGGGTGCAGCTCCCGGGATGGGCTGAACCCCCAGGGGATGGGGTGTGCTCCTGGGAGATGGGGTGCGCTACCGGGGGCTGGGGTAAGCCCCTGAGGATGAAGCAAGACGCGGGAGATGGGGTAAGCCCCGGGGGCAGACGGCCCAAGCTGGGCTCCGCAGGGTGAGC